AAAAGTTTAATGTTTCATAAAGACAAAATGGTTTGGCAACCACACAGCCCTTTAGTTTGAGGGTGTTATTCCCACACTTTCTTAACTTGGAGTAGATATATAAGACAACTATAAAATTGCAGCATTTTTGTATGATGAATTGAAAACATTGAATATGTAGAAGACATAACTGGAGGTTTTCCTTAGAGTGGTAGTTGAATTAGATGAAAAGATCCTTTCATTTAGTTGAATTTTCAAGCTGTGCTTCAATTGTTGAAAGACATAATAAGTTTTTCTTGAAGAAATTGAAGAAAGCAACTGGTGGAAACTACCTAATCTTTAACAGGTGAGATGCATCCACCAGTATGAGGTACATTAAAATGGGGCCTTTCTTCAATTTACAGCCAAATTGCTTTTTTACAGCTAGGAGTCGTTCCAGTGCCCCTGCTTCTTATTGCATTTAGGAGGAACCTGGTTCAAAAGGGGCAACTCGGCCTGGTCCAGATAATGGAGCAGCAGCAACTCCTCTTTGATTCAGTAAACATCTGAAATAAGCCAACCTTCCAGTAACTTCACTTGCATCCTTGGCAAGCTTGTCATATGGTGTCCATAGCCGCTCTTCATATAAAAGGACAGGACAAAAGGAATTAAAATGGTTAGCCGGGGAAAAATTCACATACAACAAAATGATTCCCATAAGCCAAACACACACACACACGCACACACAAACACACTTCTATTCCAGAAGCAGTGATCAGACCACTTTTTTAAGCAAATTTTGCTAGCAAAGCAACAAGTTGCTTGGTTAGATGTCTGTGTCCTCAATTGTGGTCTAGTTAAGATATTTTCTCTTACCTCTACAAGCCTTAATAAACTAGTCTTTGTTCTCCAGTTACTATATCCTATGTTTGGTTTTTTTTATTAGTATAGAACTATAGATGCCAGAACAAGCTCTATTTTATTGGCTACAAGGCTTAACTCCAAAGACATGAAGCCAAGAGTTAAAGCATAAAAAATCAAAACCATTGATTTGTTAACAATATGGTGCTAGCAATAAAGTATTGGGGTAATGGAATGTTAACTTAGTAGATAATAAGTACCTGCAGCTGCTGCAGCACGTGGCCATATGGTTTGTTCTATATCTGACCCATCAATGTGTTCACCCCACATGCATACCTCACCACCAATAACTAACTTCTGTTGCTTGGAGTTCTTAATATTTGTGAGTGGTTCATTCATATAGAATTCCTGCCAGGTGGTGTCCAAGTGGTCCAAGTACCACTTATCCTGGTTGCTCACAATGCACCTTAATCCAGATGCCACCACTTGCTCAGCAACTCCACCACCGAGCCTGATTAAAATCAAAGCACAACTAGAAATCTCAGGAGAGGCATTATCTGAGCAATGAATGGGCACTACGTTTCTACACCATCCAACAATTGAATCCAAAGCAAAGTTTGCATATTGAGTAGAAAATTATAAGTTGTACTTGCTTTGGAAATATTTAGCAGTGAAAATTTCCTAACCATGCAAGACCAAAAACAACATAACTATGAAGGTTTCAAATGATAGCTACTAGAATTTACCTTGTGGGCAGTGTGGGAAGTGGTCAATTAAGAACCCTTTCCCTTATACCATCTCATCAGAAGAAAAGAGTACAATAGCCCATAAAACAAGATGCTTATAGAAATCTATCATAAAGTTGAATTCCATTTCTACCACCACCAAAATCAATTAGATATGGAGTGTTTAAGACTCTTCATCCTTAAGCCACAATTTTATGCCCTTATAAACTGGGAAATGGGGAAAATTGGAAGAACTGTAGAAAAGTATAGCTTCAAATTGAAGTAGTCATTATTATTCTTAATTTATGAGAAAAAGTTAAAATCGCCAAGGCAATAAACAAGGAAGATAGTCAAATTGAAGTCAAAATTATGTTTCTTAATTTACTGACTTTTATGCATGGAGAAGAGAGTATTAAATCTAAGATGCATCATGACAAGAAATAAGACGTGCAGATAGAATCATGTGATACACAGTCTAGATGGCAGTCAAGAGGAGTATAACATACCAGTTGTGCACCACAGTTTTCCGGCTTAATTTATTGCCAAATTTGTTGAATGTCTCCTCCCTGTTATAGTTTATAAGCGATTGATAGAATTACAAATTGAAAAAGTAATTTATTTGTGGACATAAAAAGGTTTTATTTAGAAAACAATGTAATTGACTAAATAGTACAAGATGCATACCAATTAACAATTTCATATCCATGGGACAGAGCTATATTCTGAGCTCTCAAGACAAAGTACTGATAAGCTTGGGATTCATTCATGTGATGCTTCTTTAACCTGGAAATCAGAGTAATCAAGTAAGAAGCTCTCTTGATGGACAAAAAGTGAAATGCTATCTCTTTGGTATCTGAGCTGATAGACTTACTATAGCAGGCATGAAAGCTGATTATATGCTGAATAAAATGCATTATTATTGAAAGCAACTATCAGAGGTATTCAAACAAAATCATATTGCAATTACAACAGATAGCAAAAACAAAAAAATTAAAAATTAAAAATTAAAAAGCCCCAAATGAGAAAGCCAAGACAGCAGCAAATCAAGACTAGAGAGGGGGTAGACCAAAACAAAGCAGCTGAAAAGAAACAGGACAGACATTTAGTCATGTGACACCAAATAGTAAACATTTCAGAAAGAAGTGATAACATAATATGATGCTTTATATATTGGTGGCCACACCTATGAGACTATGAAAATGCTATAAAAATAGCAATACATCAGACAGAGAAGCTTGTTTCTTACAACAGCAAGTCAGATTATAAAAGTAGCTAGGTAGACTTCCTAATGGTTCCTCTTCCAAAACCAAAAAATTTTTGAAAAGAAAGAGAAAAGGTGTATATAATTGTGCAATGGTGATTTAACTTCAAAAAAATATAGTAGCATTTCTAAACTTAAGGCACATACAAGCAAATGATTTAGAAAAGGGAATGACTAATGAAAGTAGAATTAATATTTCTCATAGTGTTTATTGCCATTTGGGTGCAAACAATTCCACAAGACTACACTTGCCACGTTAGATGGAGCTTTGCTTTGGATGGGGTGGTTCGCAAGTACCCATGCCAAAGGCCCAGATACCCATGTAACCCAAAAAAAAGAAAAAATTTCTCACAGAACAAATACAAAATCACTTTAAAGGAACCTTGTTATTACACTTTCTCTAAGCCTTGTTGAGATCATTAATTACCATCTTGGTGAATAAATGTATGAGTAAGTTTTTACTCTTTAGGCATTTTAAGAGGGAGAAATGCAGGTTTTTAGGGAAGTTGGCATTTTTCCAAAATTTTAGGGAAACTATAATCATAGACCATTTTGGGGAGAATCTTGTAATTTACATTCTGGTTGGAAGGAGTGGTTATTCATTGGTCAAACTGTAAAAATAAGGCAAAATTGAGAAATATCCTTAAGAATATGGGATTCATTACCCCTTAATATCGATAATTTACTACTAAATTAAGGCATGAGTAAGGAATATGAATTAAAATGTCCCCTATATATTATGTATTCCTTATTTCTCACCTAATCTAAATAAAAATTATAAATATTTAGGCTTAATGTAGTTTATTAACTATGTTTTATTTTTATTGTTTAACCAAGGAATATGAACACCCTCTAACCAAATGAGCCCTTTACGTTTAACTCAGATAGTGTAGGACTTTTGTAAAGATCCTAATAGTCTTACCATTTGCTGATGTGTGAAGTATCAGTCCAGCAACCTGAAATTAATAGTGAATTCAAATGTTAATAAATTATTGGTTTAAAATATTAAATTGTATTGACATTCTATATAAGTTTAGGAAAACCCTCAAAGACACTTTCATTTCTATAAGATGAAGAAAATATCAAATAAACTTTAGTTGAGACAAAAAAGGGAAATAAAAAAGAATATCTATGGTTTGTTTTTCTTATCAGTAGAATGTCAGATTTTAATGAACATTGGTAGAGAATATATATATACTTCAATAAACTATTCTTTAGTCCCCAAAGAGCGTCTCAACTGATAAAAGGTTAGACTGCAAGTTGAAGATCTCGAATTCGAAACTTGAGGTAAATTGGGAGGGATTTGTGAAAGGAGAGGACTATAACTATTCTATTCCTTGTTGTATAGTCCACTCATCAAATATACCAAAAAAATCAACCAATCTCTAGCATCAAATGTCAATTGTAGCACCATAAACCATAATCATGACAAAGTATCATTACATCAGTGAGACTGTAAGAGCATTAGAAAGTATATTGAACTTATTGTAAGGGTATTACAAGGCACATTGAACTTACTTGTATTAACTTCGTCACCTCCCAAATGAACAAACTTAAATTTAAAGATCTTACTGAAATCTGTAAAAATAAATATCAATAACATTAATTTAATTTCACTTTTGTAGATTAAGAAAATATACTTATTGGAAGGAAGAAATATAACCCAATGCAGAGTCAGTCATTTATGTTTTTATGCCAATGAGATCACCTGAAAGAATTCCATCTATCACTTGAAAAGTGAATTCATTACTGACATCAAGTGGCTGCTGACAGTTACTTGATGGCCATAAAGCAGGATAGCCGACCCCCCTAAAGAATGAAAAACACAAGTTCACAATCTATTGAATGATGGCAAAAATCTCTAATTTTAGTTACTATCACCACTGATGGACAGATCATCTTGAGGAGTGCGAGTGAAAAATACCAAGGAACAACAACCATGAACAAAAGTAAAATAACATTTCCTCTAGAATTGAACATTTCCATCTACTATATAGGGAGTCTATGCACCAACAACAAAATTTAACACTGCTTTATGACTAGAAAAATTAGTACTACCAGGAGAATGCATGCCCAGGGACATCCAATTCAGCCATTACATTAATCCCTCGTTCTTGGGCATAACTGCAACAGTTGATAACAACCATATCAGGAACAAAAGAAGTATGAGGAAAATAAGTATTCTTTCAATGCAACCAAGTAGCAAAAGCACTTGCCTCACAATTTCAGCAGCATCAGCTATTGTATATCGTTCTGAGGCCGAATAAGCACCATTCCACAGCTTTGGATACGAAGGTATCTCCAACGGGAAAGATTGGGTATCTACAATGTGCCAGTGCAATACATTCTGTGTGAA